AGGGGGCTCAAATAAAGCAGATTTATTCATCTGATACTCGGTGGTGCCGGGCTGCTAGACCGATCCCCAGAGCCTCTTCTCCTCCAGGCTCTGGCGGTCTAAGGACCACTGACATCATCACGTCTAATGCGGGTCCAATTAACTTGCATTAGATGTGAGGACACAGAGGGACACTCCACAGCCGGAGCGAAGGGACCAATGCACGACTGAGGATCAGGTGAGTCTATCTGCTTTATTTCAGCCCCCTAGACAAAACCGTTACCTAAGGCCCCATTCACATGTAGCGACATACCTTTGCAGCGGCCGGGATAGCGCGACCTTCTCTGTCGGGCTCCATAGAAAAAAAGCAAAATCCGCCGAAAAAAGGGTCCGGTAGAATCGACTTGCGACGAGCGACATGGAGCTAAGACAGCTCCATTGACTATCATTAGCCGGCGACTTCTCGCGATATCGCGCGATAAGTCGCTACATGTGAACGGGGCTTAACCCTTGCAATGAGGGGGTAGCCCCGCTGCAAGGGTACATTTAGGATTTTTCCCAGAGTGCTTCTTTAAGGGTTCTCAGCTAAACAAACCAGCAACCACAAAGAAAAGGCATCAGTTCTAGAATTGTGCTACAGCTAACCAGGGCCGATCAGATCTCTACATAACACTAAAAGCAAGCAGCATAGGTTGTGCTGCGTCAGGGTGTGTTTTGGGCTCCATATACATTGTCATTATTGGGCCTGATGAAGGGGTCCCTGCGTGGCCACAAAAGCACTTGTCTTCATGACCACTATCAGTCAAGTGGATTTGCACTGACGAAAATCTTTGTGCTGGTGACATTTGCATTTGATTCGGGATGTGTTTTGGGGCCGATAGAAACTCCTCCATTTAGTACAGCACACGTCTGTTATAATGCAGGATATCATCTGACCAGCAGGCGGGTTTTATCCCCCCATAGAACTAAAACACATCCAGGGGAATGTAAAATATGCATATTGATGTGTTTTATCTGACTTCTGTTGGTATGCAGATTCCACCTCTAACATAAGCACAGTCTCTGACGGAGCATTTTGGATTTGAACACGGCCCTGTGCAGACGTGTACTTTTCACACATAACCTGCACTGTATGTGACCTGCTTTGCTCACAATGCAAACACATCTCAATAGGACCAGCTGCTCCCGAAGAAGAGCAAAGCAGACTGTCATTCAAACTACACCATTGAAGTAAATGGTGATCTGCTGACAGGAAACTGCGCCTGTCTACACAAACTAAACTGTCCCCTCACATCCGCAATGCCAAGTGGGCGGCTAAGCTTAGGTGTGCCAAAATATTACTATTTGCAAGTGTGAAGGGTTCCCTAAGTGACGAGAGGCTTTATAGCATCCCTCAGTATGTGTCTTATCTGGACATTGCAATCTATTCTAACCAGTAGAGCAGGGGTAGAAAGCCTCATCCCTCCAGCTTGATGAAACTACAAATCCCATCATGCTTTTGACAACCACTGGCAATACTCCCTGAGGCATTCTTGCAGTGCTTCATGGGACTTGTAGTATCACAGCTACTGAGACAGTACTGAGGATGCCTACCCCTGCTCTAGAAGCTGCCTGAAGTGTCCTATATATTTATATACTCCAGCTCCAAACAAACAGGGAGGTTTACAATATATTTTTGGGGGTTTGCTGTGTGAATGTGAGCACGTAACCAACATATAGAGGGGGTATCCCAGATATTTGCTTTGTATACGTGGAAATCAGGGAACCTGTGCTATGACCATGCAGGGCAAAGCAACAAGTACATTTCATCGGCTGCCCCCTTTAATAGCCTATACTCTTCTTTACTTATTTCCTCTGCCACCCCATATGATTGTTGGCGTGAGAAGTAGTTCCGGGTAAGTTCCGGGTAAGTTCTAAGCACCGACTTGGCGCTTACACAGTGCTAAGGACCCTTACCCAGCCCCCATGTGACTCCAACCAGTGATTGAGCACCAAAGCGCCAGTGCTGTCACTTGGGAGGAAGTGGAGCAAGTCTTTTCTATACAGAATTTTTGTATAATTTTATTAATCATGTTTTAATATGATGAATATCTATATAATGTAAAATAACTCATTTTAATGCAGGTTCCATTTAAAAAAATGCCAGTTGATCCTGCCATAAAATCCGTGTTCAGGCACTTCCTGTGATGGGGTGACAACTGTTTCCCAATTGTTCTCCTGCGTGGACACCGTTGTCGCATGCACCGCTGGTGGAGACAAGCGGCTGTACCGTTGCACACTCTCCAGACATGGTCCGCTGATTTTACTTTTGGGAAGCCGGTCCGAAGCAAAGATGCAGCCAGTGCTGGAGCGATGTACACAGGAAGTGGCTAAAGAAGATGAGTGACACAAAAGCATATTTTATGAAAAACAAAAAGATGTTTGTTTATTTTATGATCTGCAGTGCTTTAGAAAATAAATAATAATACACTTGGCACAGGAGTGTAAATGAAGGAGGAACAAGGTCTGACCTACAGATGCTGAGACGGACATATAAATGATCACACATCCTGAGGAATGATGCAAAGCACATAAAACCACGCCGGTGTCAGTTATTGAAGCGTTAGATATAGTAGGGTGCGGTATGTAGAAAGCACTTGAAATGTTCTTGTAAAGTATTTGGGAAAAGCCAGCGTTGGTTTTGCTATGTGAAGGAGGCTCAGGGAATGGCTCTGGCACACAAATCTCTTTTTGTTTTCTCAGCAAACACATCTATACCATACCACAGATTATTAATAATACACATCTGCTGGGGCCACAGGAAATGAACCGCAATGCTGAGGAGCTTAAGAGCTCTCGGGCTTTGGGGGGAAACCATAGGATGATTTATTCCATGTGTGTCAGCCCTCCCTTATAGCATGTATGAGGAGGAGATTAAAGAAGACCTCTGGGTTAGTGTACCTGGCCTCACGTCTGGATGTAAGCTGGTGGCAGATTGATGATGATGAAGGTGGTGAGAGGTGCCAGCATACAGGCTCTGTTATCGAGAGTGCTGCAGGACTCAGCTATGCAAATACTGACTGCAGATAGGCCTTTGCTTTGGTTCCCACCACTGCGCTATTCATCAATGAATGGAATACATAGAATTTAATTGGATTTCTTACATGGAGACTCCTCACTTGTTATTAAGGTGAACTTGTGTTTTTCCCATGTACGGCAAAGCGTCAGGTTCACCTAACTGCTCTCCTCCCCAGCTAGTTATTGTGCCCTCCACTTCCCTGCCAATCTGTTTGTCCAGTGAAGTGAGCCCAGTTTAAGCTCCATTTGTTCTGGCCAGAGCTTAACCAGGTAAGGACTCTCTGCCCACCCCTCAGGCCAGCCAGTTGGCTTCTAAAGTAATGTGAGAGTGGTTAGCAGTTCTGCCTTGCAGCACTTGGGGTACACGATTTAAATCCCAGTCAGGACACTATCCTGAACGAGTTTGCATGTTCTCCCTGTGCTTGTGTGAGTTTCCTTTGTGTACTCCGGTTTTCTTTCCACACTCCAAAGACAAGATGGAAGCTTATTTGGCTCCTGTCTAAATCGGCCCTCCTATGTATGCATGTGAGATAGGGACCTTGGATTGTAAGCTCCTTGAGGAGAGGGCCTAATGTGAAGGTGCAGTATGTAAAGCAGTGTATAAATTGTCTGCGTTATAGAAATACCTGTCATTAAAGGAGAACTATGGGGTTAATTATGAGGTGAGTGAAAATCACTCACCTCATAGTTCTCCTTTTAATAAATGGGGAGTGTCGCATGTCCAGAAGTGCTGGGTTAGAACTCCCCTCCTGCAGCATGCTCTAGGCCAGTGACTTGCTAGGTACAAAACCTCAGAATAGGAATGACAGCCCTGGAACTTTCACTTTTTAAAGGGACATTAAAACTTTTTATTTTTTTTTTACCTTAAAGTGACATTAAACCCTCAGATTTTTTAACATAAAACAATACTGTAATGTGTGCCTTACTGTAATCCATGGTAGTTTTCCTTCTCTTTGATGCTCTTCCTTTTAAATCTGTATCTGTTCTCATGCTTGGAGAGAACTTCCCTTTTCAACAGACTGCCTTGTCTCAAATGGTGTCTGTGTATACGTTTCTATAGGCTGTAACCTGAGCCAGCACCACAGGAAGGGGCCCTGAGCTGAAAAGGGAAGTTCTCTCCAAGCATGAGAACAGATACAGATTTAAAAGGAAGAGCATCAAAGAGAAGGGAAACAACCATGGATTACAGTAAGGCACACATTACAGTATTGTTTTATGTTAAAAAATTTGAGGGTTTAATGTCACTTTAATGCAGAGAATGCACTAAGGCAGGGGTCTCAAACTCAATTTGCTTGGGGGGCCACTGGACACATTTTTTAGTTCCATGTGGCCTGTTTGCCAAATTTCATGCTTCAAAATAAAATGTAAATATATATAGTACCAGTGTTAAGGTCTGCGCACGTTACAAGCGTTTACAAGTGGCAACTGTCGCCCATTCAGTGTAATGATCTAGTTACAGCCGCTGCAGGTAAATGCCTGCACACCGCAAGTAATGGTATGTGATATGATTACACGCAGTTGGGAATCAATCACTATCCCTGGATGCACAATCGCGTACCTAACTTGTCAGCTGGCTGCGGGCCACATAGTACTGGTTCGCGGTCCGGTACTTTTAGACTCCTGCATTATGTAAAAAATGGCCAGCCTTTAGTAGTACTTTAAGTCGGCAATGGCAGATCCTTTATTTCTATCATGACAGGTCCCTTTTAAGATGAACCTATTATTGTGACATATGTTAAAACCAGTTACTGCGCACCACTTGTGGATATTTTTCTTTGCAGGTTTCTTCATGGGTAACCCATATTGTTTTCGTGGGGTGTTGATATGAACATCAGCTCCAGATTGGAATTCTCTGAGTGTGTTTTATTGTGGTTCTCTTTCCGCAGTACTATGATTCCACTGGATGATCTTGGCACCACTTATACCTGCTTGTGGTTTCATAATGTGTCTTCTTTCTCTGGCAGGAGAAGAGGCGAAGAATATGTGTAGATCCAACAGCGAGAGCACCAGCCAAGCCATGATGGAGCCGTGCCGCCACCAGCGCACCAGAGGGGAGCATAGGCGGCACACTATCACCAATGGAGTGGACTACGGCATGGTGAGTGTGGGGTGCTGTTTTCTAGTACCATATACCGAGGACGTTCATTATCTCAGTTATACAAAAATACACAAGTATATTTTTGTTGCTCCATTAGTCAAAAATAGATTTTTTTTGATGAATCTTCTACAGATAAAATAGACCTGGACGGTAGTTAAGGGAGGCTGGATACAGACTAGTTTTTTTTAAACCACTTCCTGTCTAACTCCAGCCATTTTTAAATAAATTGTGGAAATTTTCTGTTGGGCTTTTGTTTGTGAACCACATTGGGGAGATTTTTTGGAATGGCAGCTGCGGTAGATAAGCTGTATCCTAAAGCAATGGTGAATTGCAGTGACTCTGGATCTGATCATGTACACATATGAAAGTTCTACTTGAGCTGGCTCAAATATCAGGCAACTCCTGAGGCGTGTTGAGTTGCTCTGCCGCTGCGAGTGCTGAGTCAGCAGACAGTCACTGAACGCTGTGCTCCACACTGCTAACTTGGCACTCGCAGCGGAAGTGAATGTAGAGTGTGACTTGCATAGCAGGAGAAGTTGGGGACAGAGCACCATTGGCCTTTGTAACAGTGGGCACACCTGGCAGTGATGGGGAAGGGTGCCTGAGCCTCAATTGATCAAATCACAATTCAGTGTAGAAACCTCGAATTTTAATGTTTTGGTGGCCGAATGTGAATGAAAATAGAAATTGCAGAGTCATGGCCACTGTGCTGCACAATGTGCCTGCCACCCCTTTTTCAGCTAGTGTGTCCCACATTGCTAAGACCTGGAAGGGAGGATGTGTAAGGGCCATGCATATCTCCCTGTTCAGCTCATAGCAGCCTGGAAACTCCAGTTTCCGGGATGACCAGTATCCCGCCCAGCTCCTGGAAACCACTGGCATCAATGGTTGCCAAATGCAGAGGCCATCCCAACCTCCATGGGGTGTCCTGCTTTAGTTTAAGTGTGGACCGGGGTGTCCAACTAATGAGAAACAGAGAAAACAAAAAATAAATGGAGCAAGGGCTAAAGCGCTACTACCAGTGTAGAACAGAGTTTTGGGGTGTTGGGGCCACACTTAAACTAAAGCAGCACACCCTCCTTCCAATTTTTCCCTCCCCTTACCCCCCAACAAAAACTTAAAAAAAAGAAAAAACCACCCCTCCCCCCCTCTCTTTTTGTGTACAAACCCCCCCCCCCCCTCCCCGCAGCACCCCTGGGAGAGCGCTGTCACATATAGGACTTGAGTCGCGAAAATTTCCACATTCCAGCCTAGGGCCTCCTTATGGTGTGTACCACCATCACCCCACCCCCTGCCCTTGGATGGAAGTATCACAGGGGTTGGTAACCTTGGCACTCCATGCTGTGCTGCAACTAAAAATCCCATCATGCCTCTGGGTGCCATGACTGTGGCTGTCGGTCTTGCAAAGCCTTTTGATACTTGTAGTTCCGCAACCGCTGGAGAGCTAATGCTGCCTACCTCTGATCGATTTCTTTGGTTGAGTCTGTGTAGCCTAAGTAGCTTTGTTGAAAGATTTCAGCAATACACAGCTTACCTCCATAGCTACAGGAAAGAAGCGGGTAAGGATCTGCAATTGAGTTTGCAACAATACCCACAGAGTATATTGTTGACCTGGAGAAGTTTGTGTGTGTTGTTGATGTCTCACTCTCCCTCCCCTCTCTCTCCCCTCTCTCTCCCCTCTCTCTCCCCAATAAACCAGAATTTCATTATGCGTCCTCTGCCAAGTCCTGGCCTCCAGAGAGGGAGCATTGGGCCAGCATTGTGCATAAGCAAATGGCTCAATTTGCCTTTCAGTGGTCCCTTTGCATGCGAATGACTGATTCACTCATCCATGCGCATCACAAAATCTGGACTGATGGGATCCCAGAGGAGAGGAGGAAGCAAGGAAAACAATTAGCGGAGGGGTCACTTAGTGCGGTTGGGTCATTGACTTTGGGACTGCATTCCTCACACATGGAAAGTTGAATTCTCCATTCCAATGGGCCGGGGACATTTCTGGATTCCCTTTTCATATCCAGATGACAATCTGCCTTTTAGATGTGTGATAGAAACTGCCATTGTTCAGCCCCTTGGCATGTTTAATGAGAACATAATGATAAAGACACCCAGGAAGCCTTGCAACTGTGTCACTTTACAAAACCTACTTGGGTTACTTTTAAAGAGATTCTATAATAGTTTGGGGTTCATTTTTTTTTTTTTTTTTTAAATTCTGCGTTTATTGTAACAAATAACAGATAGATACATGAGTACCGAGCATAGAGAACGTATTACAGCACAAATATTAACATTTGAAACATAAGCGGTCTCATAGAACAGTATAAAGATCCATATCGCATGTCGGCTTGGATTAATGCTACGTCTCTATATACATATAATCAGATATATGCTTTAAACATGGTCTTGAGACTGAAAAGCATCGGCTGTCTAAGCGAACAACAACTTATACATACTGATCATTGTGTGGGACGTGCCCACCTCTTCCACTCTGTATGTTAATGCTAGTCCTATGTTGAGCTTCAAGAGTCACGTCTGGTGTGAGAGAGTGGGCAGGTTCCCATTTCGAGGGGTATCACCTGGACAGGACAACTTCAAAAGGGTCTAAATCACATAGAGGTCAGAAGGAAAGGAAGAAGAAAAGGAGAAGGAGGGGATGGGGATTAGAAGCTAAAGGCATTATCAGGG